CACGCGCACCCAGCCCGCCCAGCCTGCTGCGGCTCCGGCTCCCCGTCCGGAGCCTGCCTGCTCCCGAAGCCCGCGGCCCGGCCTCCCGGACCTTCCATCCCAGGCGGCCCCGCGAACATTTCCACCTTGTTCCGACAGCTTTTTAAGGTTAGCCACCTCGTGCCTGCCAAGGGGGGAGCGAGGCAGGGCCTGGCCCCAGGGCCCCGGCGGGGAGGCCGGACACCCCGAACCCCCAGGAGAAGGCGAAGGGGAGGTGACTACAGCGGCTCCCGCTTGGCTGAGCGGAGTTAGAGATGGCTGCCGTGGCTCCTGCCTGTGTTCCCAGGTACTCTGGAAGGAGGATCGTGGTCTGAGGCCAACTTGGGCAAAAACGCCAGACCCTATCAGGGGAGGCATGGCTCAAATGGTAGAGTACCTGCCTGGCAAACCGAACGGTTCAAACCCCAGGACGCCCCCACCGAAAGAAAGTTGTTAACCCTAAGCTCCTCAAGAAACAATTTAGCCCAATGTCAGGGATAACTACAAAAAGCCAAGGATCCCAAAATGGGAGTACGCCTTTTCTTGAGGAAAATAGAAGCCCTTAAACATTTCCTATTTTTCGATTTTTGTAGCAGCTAATTTAAGATTTTTAACTCCAAGGCTACTGGGCCTTGGGTTACAAGGGCCTTGCTGGGAAGCTTTTGAGCCACACTTCCCTTGGGCCCTGCCACAGGCTCCCTCTGGGTCCGTCATTGGGGAAAGTACTAGCCCTGGGACTCCCAGGACCTGGGGGAGATAAACTCTAGCTGAGCCACAGAGATACTCCCTTCCCCAGAGCAGCTGCTGCCCTGGAGGCCAGGGAAAGCCATATGAAAATGTCCCACTCCCCAGAGCTCTGCCTCTCCTGCCTCCCACTCCCCAGAGGGGAGTTTGAGTTTGCAGAAATAAGTCTGCTGTGTTCCCAGGGCTCTTGGAACTGGGGACAAGCTCAAGTCCTATTAGCTGCTTCCCAGCCTAGGTGTTGACCTCAGAGCTGTTCCACAGAGATCTGGGCCTGGCGGAGTCTGAAATGTAGCCTCCCACATTTGTCTATTCTCATTGGAATGGAGTCTGTCTCTTCCTAGAACCACACACAACCTGTTGCCTGGGGCCATCTAAGACCCAAGATGTCTCAGAACCTTAAGCAGGACTGCATGAAACTTTTCTACCCTTAGGAACAAACATTTCCATTTTGCCTAAAAGAAACAACTTGAAAGCTCCAGCTGGTGATAATGGCAGAGGAGAGATGGCTCAGAAAGTTTCAAACTCAGCCCAGATGTGCTGTGTGCACAGCCAGACCCCAGGAGCAGGTTGGCCTCTCACGAGGAATGAGGAGAAGTATGGGTCCCTGCTTGCCCTTTCCCACCTGTTCTTTGTCCATGCTGTCACTCTAACCACAGGCCTCGGCTGATGGTGGGGACAGATACAGCAGCTCTGCCAGCTGCCCTCAGTGGCCCGGGCACAGCCAGTGTGAGGGTTAACAGGCACACCCTGCAGACTGGGCATCCACATGTCAGAGCCAGAAATAACGTGGTGGCAGCCACACCATCAATTTGCTTCCCACAAATGCCGCAGCCCCATCCCAATCTGGGCGGGTAGCAGCAAGGTGGCTCCCCAGAGGAGGGTCCCCTCCTCTGTGACAAGATGAAATACCACCATCCCATAGCTCTGGGCCATGATGGTGTATAACTCCCATCTCCAGGATGGCACTCCAGTCTGAGCTCAAGCTGCCTATGTTGCCTCCGCTCCCTCTCTCCAGCTTGTATTTGACATTTCATGCTATAATTGATGGGAGCTTCATGTTCACATCTGCCACTGGCCAGAGAAGCAGCCATTACCCACAATGAAACGCATGGAAGTAGGAGAGGCAGCAGTCACTTACCCTCAGGGCCACACTGAGCTGGGTTGCTGATGCAAGACGTCTTGTACCTGCCGTAGTACAGGAGTGTTACCCCCTTCTCCTCCTTGAGGTAAATGCCTTTGTTGACCTTCCCTTCCACAATATCTGAGTGAGAGGAGAGACAGCACTGTATGTTAATGACCCTATGAGACTGGAAGCCTAAAGACACAAGTCAGATTCACAGCTTCCTTGTCTTCATAATTGCACATTCATAATACCACACACTATCTAGAATATTAATGGCACTCATTAATATTTAACTATTAGTAATTATAAATAATGTATAAGTTTAAGTGTTTGGTGGTAAATTATTATAATATCCTATTGATATCTTATTAATGTGTCACATGCATTACAGCGGAATGATACAGTAACTGTCCTTTTTGCCAATGGTTGAACCCACTGGGGTGAAACGAACGGCTGTGCCCCGCTGTCCTAATCATATCACATGCTGCCGGATCCTTCCCAGCCCATCGTCGTTTCGAATTTCCTTTAGTAGACTGAACATGGAGCATGATGTGCTCTCTGTTCTCCTGAGCTCGGCTTAGAGTATTCTAATCCCACCTGGCTGTGGGGCCTGTGTTTCCGACCTGGGAGGGCCTGGGACAGTCCAAGGTCCTGCCAGCTGCAGGACCCCACAGCCATAAATCCCTTCAGAAGCCCTGCCCACCCAGACATCTTGTTTTGTCCTGTTTCCAACTCAAATGTGTCTGATGGAGGAGGGACAAAGGCACGGAGTTTTTAGAGAGGATAAGCAGGGCCTATGAAACCTAACAGTGGCAGCATCTGTTATTCACTGTGGTCAGCTTGCTCATCTTCTTCTGCTACTTGGGAGAGACTGGGGAGAGTGGCCCTGTGGCTTTGGGTACAGTGTATACCCAGGAGCTGTTCGGCCTTCTGACCCAACACTGCCACCTAGACCACCTTTGTGACTGGATAACCCCTGGGCACCACTGTTTATCCTTACTGTGTTGAAACTATTGTTTTTACTTACCCTGTTTCTTGCCAGAGAGATCTATATCTTATACAGCACTAAATGGATAAATAACAGTTTCTTAACTGAGTTAGGCTGCACAAACCCCTAAGCAAGACCAGTTGCTTGGCAAAATTAATTGCAGGAGCCAAACACCCCACAGTTGAAGGAGCAACTGGGAGATGGGCTAGAAAATGGATCTATGTGATCAGAACTGGTCTCCGAGGCCCACCAAATAAATGCCACAATCGCTGCCCTTCTGTTTCAGCTGCATGGAGAAGACACAGCCCTGTGGGCTCTGGGATCATTAAAGAAGACAGTAATTCAGTCATGATTCTCATGGGGGTGTGTCTCAGAAGAAAGCATCTTAGGAGTTTTAAAATCCAGCTGCAAAGATAATGCTGATTTTAACGTTTGGAAAAGATTAAATTCTGGATGAAGTACTTTGAATTAATTTTGATTTTCCTTGAAAAGGTCTTCTCTCCTCGTTCTGTGTTTAAAAAAAATCTCATCTTGGCTCGGTTTTGCTCTGGAAATAAGCTTCCATTTCAGAATCTGCTGGGAGTATGGACAAGCACCTGCCCCTCTGAGCCTGGCCATCCACCCTGGCTCTGTCTGCTTCTATTCACTGCTACCCACTTATCTGCCAGCCAAGAGAGTGGCATCCCACAGGACTGGACTGCTGAGCCCTCAAGTTCACTGGAGATCCCAGCATGACAGAAATCAGAAACAGACATAAGGTGCTCACCTACGGTTGCAGAGAAATTGGAGTAGGCAGAGTCATTGGTAGAAACAAAGGTAGAATTGTGGGAAGGGAGCACAGTGAGGTTGTGGGTTCGCAATGCTGGGTGAGACAACAAGAGAGAAAGCACAACACATGAGTGAGACAATGGCAAACATAAGTAAACAAACAGAACCAGCACATCTCTCAACGTGGCCTGCCTTGGAGGGGACTCCTTCCACCCCTGGCCCTCCCTCCTCTCCAGGGCTCCCTCTGCCCTCGTGCCAGCCAGCTGCAGTACACTGTTCATTCCAAAGATGGGTGCAGGAGCTGTCGATTCCAGCCACAAGCTCACAGGTAAGGGTTCCAGAGTGGCTCCACTCCCACACAGAGGCCTAGTTGAGAGATAAGATACTGAACTTGGCCATTTGTGAAATGGCTACAACAAAATGATTTATGGGGATGGTTTGGTGAGAACTGATGAGACACAAACATGGCATGAACATGGTGAAATGGTGACAAGTGACAAGACAGAGCCTAGTCGCAGGCAGCAGCACATCCATGGCGTGATTCCCAGCCATCCACCATCCTTCTTCCTTGAGGACCTCTGTTGAACTGAAACGTACCAGGGCGGCCTGGTGGCAGGGTGGCATGGCGAGAGGAGACCACTTGATGCTCCACTTCCAGGGTTTCCAGAAAACACTGATCTGTTTATTTAGAGTCTGACCAGAGTCAGGGCACTCAATGGACAGTGGTCAGCCCCTTCGCCATTGTATTTGGGTGATTTCCTGACTTAATCGATTAAATGACTGGCTCAGATGGGGGCTGGGGACAAGCGCTCTGATAGGTAGCTATCAGGCTCTTTATTGAAATGGCTCCTAATATATTAGTTGCTGGATCCTGGGCAGTGAGCTATTTATTTTGACAATGCATTTCCACTTTTCAGGGGTATTACCTCTGAGAGCTTAAAAACAAAGACCCAACAGGAAAAATGAAGTTTGACCAGGGCAAGTGCTCTCTTTTCTCTGAACCAGCCACATCAGAAACTTGCAGTGTGTTTTCACCCCACCGAAGCATGAATTCAGAGAAAATATTTGTCTGTAAGGCTGTGCTCAGGGACAGCCATCCACGTAGGAGGAGGGCAGGCCAGCAAACCACACTGAAGACGGCGCCCTGTGTCCTTCCCAGAGGCCCTCCCCCACCACCAGGCCGTGACTCTGAAGCTTAAAAGAGTGTAAGGAAACATTTTAGAGGGTTCTGTGGATTCCTGGCAGCACACTAAATCTCAGCCATAGGAAGGTGATGGTGTGCTGGCAGGGTGGGGCTCATGGCCATAGTAATCAGTAGCCTGTGGTTTTTTAATGTATTACATGGGATGGTAGCATGGCTCAAGTGGTAGAGTGCTTGCCTAGCAAGCATGAGGTCTTGAGTTCAAACCCCAGTACTGCCATATATGTGTATGGATGTTTGTACACAAACACACACTACAAGGAACCAGAACAGAAATGTCTGGAACACAGGCTGAGCTCTGTACTATGGCACTGTGGCTGGACACATCAGCCACTTGATAGCATCAAGAACAATAGTTAAGTTGTTCAAAATTTCTATTTAAAAGGGGGTCTCGGGCAGAAGCATGGCTCAAATGGTTCTCCTGGTGCCCTGATGCCCCAGCCCCTGGCCTGCGGCACTCCCAATACCCAGGTCTACCTCCAGTGGTATCCTGAAGTTCATGGATCCCGTCCACATCTTCCAGTGGCCAGTAATGGGAAGCAGAGGCCAAGACAGCAAAGCCTGCAGAGGAAAGGATGGAGCTGTTACATCACCACTGGGGAAGAAGGAGCTGAGAATGGAGCTGTGAGCTGGACCTTCGATTGATTGGGGAGAGTAAATGAACCCCACAGTGAGCCAATGTCTGCCATCATTGGACAAGGAAAGAAACCATGAAAAACAGTTCTGGAAGAAGGACAGGAACCTCAGTGCTCCTCAGTGCTGTGCCAGACATTGTTGGAGGTATTTGGGAGACACTTGCTTATCCGTGCTAACAATGACTGACAAGATAATTGTGTCCTTTGCCTATTTGTAAGATCAGCAAGAAAGTCCTTGCTCAAATTACATGCAAGGCCATGTTAGACAGGATATTTCCTAGGCCCAGCCCTGCTGCCCCCCCCACCTCCCACTGTACCTGTATCCTGCCCACTGAGAAGGGCTGGCTTCATGATCTTTTTGTTTACATATTATGCAGATATACTAGTTTCTGGTCTCATGTTACATGAACAGGTGAAGTCACTGACTTGCTGGTTAATTGCAGTCTCCCAGATTTGTCTGTCTAAGCTGGCTTCAAATCTCCATCTCAGCCTCCTGAGTAGCTTGGACTACAGGCATGAGCCAATTGGCACCCGGCTGGATAGCTTATGATAAAGATGGTGTCTTGAACAAGAGAAATATACTCAGCAAAAACTGGTGGAGCCATTAACTGTTTGAGGAGAAAAAAAGGAGCCCACCTCATGCTTTATACCACCTGGATCAAAAGATAAGTGTAATAATATAAAAGCTTTCTGAGGTGATAAATTTGACTGCATTGTTTTTAATTTTTGCTCAGAAACAAGTTAAACTATGTGAAATGATAATATTTATGTTAATATATGCGACAAAAATGTCTTGATTCCTTCTTGGATGTATTATGGCTGCTATATCTTTAAACCTCTCAGGCTGAGGTATAGCACTTGCCTAGCATGCCTGAGAGAGTTCCTGGCTTTGTCCCCAGCACCAAAACAAAACTCCTCCTGTTAAGAAAAAACTTGTTAGCTGGGTGCCAGTGGCTCACCCCTGTAATCCTAGCTACTCAGGAGGCTGAGATCTGAGGATAGCAGTTCAAAGCCATCCCAGGCAGGAAAGTCTGTGAGACTCTTATCTCCAATAAACCACCTGAAAACAAAGTGGCGCTGTGGCTCAAGTGGTAAGAGTGCTAGCCTTGAGCTGAAGAGCTGAGGGACAGCACCCAGGCCCAGAGTTCAAGCCCCATGACTGACAAAAAGAAAAAAGAAAAAACTTGTTTCCCTTTTGTTCTTACAGCACGTTACATACAAAAGTCTAAAATGTAAGCCGAGGACAAAGTGCTTTCTGGAGCATAAAGGCAAGACTCTGCCCACGGCCTAGCTCCTGTTTACAGGCTAGAGAGCCCTGCTGGACATCTGGAGGCTGTGTGTGGGCCTCGGAGAAGCAAGAGGCTAAAGCACCCATTTCATCTACCATGATTTCCACCTAAAATCAAGGATACTCACTGAAAAAAAACCTTCACTGACTTTTATTTATCATGGGAAAAATCAAGAAAAGAAATCACATATAGTGTATAGAGAACAGAGGCCAGCTCCTCAGATCCCCTGTGCGTCGCTGACCTACGGACACAACACCCTCTCACCATCTCGGGTGACTGAGGCTACAGCTGGTTCTGGGAGGAACTGCTAAGAAGCATAGGTATGGTGTCACCCTGGAAGAAGCTGCAACCCCAAGGGCGTGCCGGGGAAGAGGTGCTCAGGAGGGGCAGCTGGACCTGCTCCCCTGCTGCCCTTCCCACAGTGCCTAGCCCCCTGTGACATACTGCCTTGTGAACTCACAGCTGGGCACAGGGACACGGGCACAGACTGCTGCACCTACAGGCCAGGCCCATCCTGAGGGCATGGCTTTGTGGGTTGAACAGCTGGTGGCATGCATCTGCTGACAGGCAGGTGCCAGCGATGAAGGACCAGGACCTTTATATGCCGTGTCCTGTCCTGTTCAGGGCAGGAGAGCTGTGGCAGGTTGAGCTGCAGACACCCAACCACAGAACCCTGTCCACTGCAGGTCAGTTGCCCAGAATCTCCAGGTCTCTGCTTTTGGAGAAGTTAGAGATCTGGGTGTTCTAAGTGTAGAATTCCCCCCAATTTAGTCCTGTCAATTTTAAATAACAATGAGGTGGTGCTAACAGGCTCATCCACAGGCCCATATAACCTAAAGGATTCAGAGAAAACAGAAAGGTTCTTGCTCTCTTGTGACAGAGGCTGTGGCCACCTTCCCATCACCAAGGACAAGAGCTGATCTGTCAGCCACATGGTCTCGCAGGCAGACCCACCCAAGGCAAGGTGTCTTCTTAGACATTGTGGCTCGTCTGGCAGTCACATGGCCATTTGGGGATGAGTCAGAGACAGGAGAAGACAGTGCAGGGAGGTTGGGAGAAAGAAGGAAGAGGAGGGGAGGCAGGGCAGGGTAAGAGAAGACAAAGGTGGGGGAAGATTTCCAGCCATTGCCATCATAAGTCTTGCACCCATATCTAAAGTTCCATCATTTTAGGTTGGCTGGGAGAAGACAAGAATTGATGGTGACAACAGCTCATAATTTTCCTGGTTCTTCTCTGCCCCTTGTCTTCGGTTATCTCCATCCTCCCCTTCCCAGGACTCTACCTTCAAGGGGTCCTTCAAATGACCTGTCCTTGGTCCCCACCAGTCCATCGCTGCCTGTTGGGCTCTATCCGCCTCCCTTCAACACTGAAGCTCATGTTCTCCACTGCTTGGAAAGCTGGACCTTGTGTTTTGTGTAGCTGCCTCTTTCCAATCCAGGTCTTGGCCTCCCCTCAGGCCTCCTGGCCCTGTCACCACCCTCTCGGCGGTTACCTCCACCAGACATTCTGTGCCTGGTCTGGTGTCTGGCCCCTGAGTCAGACTTCTGCTATGTAAAGGATTCTATCTCCTCTCTGTGTTCCATGCGTGTGTACGTGCATGCATGTGTGTGTGTGTGTGTGTGTGTGTGTGCGTATAACTCAGATTTTTTTATTTGAAATCTCCCAAGGTCCAGATGTTAGTCATTACAAACATACTCTAGCTGAGCACTGGTGGTTCACACCTATAATCCTGGCTACTCAGGAGGCTGAGATCTGAGGATCACTGTTCAGAACCAGCCTGGGCAGACAAATCTGTGAGATTCTCTGTCTCCAATTCACCACCAAATAGCCAGAGGTGTTTCAAGTGGTAGAACACCAGCCTTGAGCAAAAACAAAACAAAAAATGAGAGTGTGAGGCCCTGAGTTAAAGCCCCAGTACAAGCACAAAATTAATAAATAAAAAAATCACAGGTAGAATGGGTGATGAAATGCAGGAATGAGTAGAGACCAGTTAATCATGAACATAGGGTACACAGGGAATGCAATTATATCTGTAGTCCTTGCTCCTAGAAAGTCACTATCTGATAGACCCCTGTGTCTGACAAGATGACAGTGCTGTTTTTCAAAAGGCCATCGTGAACGTAGTTTTCCACCCTAGAAGGTGACATTCAGGTTCCCACAGTGCAGGGCGGGCCACTGTCGACCACACACCACGGGTCACTGTGTGGAATGATCACCATGATTACCTGCTGTGGGCTCCCCAGCCTCCCAAGAGGCAGTCAGGTGGCTGCCGGGCATGCTAGCCCCAGCTGGGGCCAGAGCCCCATGGCCCCCGGGTAGGAAGGGTCCTAGTGGTGACATGGCTGCTACTTTTCTCAAGTCCCCTGGTCCTCATTACAGTCATTACCTATAAAAGGACATGTTTATAAACTTTTGCAAATGACTTGCAGTCTCCTAGCCAGCACCATCTAGGGGTCGGAATTAACCGACAGGCACAGCTTTGTATGTTACCATGGGGAGCCAGGACCAGGGCTCGGTGCCTGGGTGGTGGCAGATGTACCTGCCCGGCTGGTCCCAGTGTCCGCTCTCCAGTCTCTCCACAAAGTGAGGACAGGGTAACCACACTAAACCTGCTCGGCGACCATCCACAGCACAGAGGCTCCTGAGAAGCGGCGTGATTTGAGATCACGTATGAAGCTAAGTCCCCTGCATACTGGCAGAGCTAGGGATCCAGCAGCCCCCTGAGCCAGTGTGGACAGATGACCCCGCCTACACGCCTAGAGCATCCCCTGGGTGTGTGTGTGCGGCCTGGCTCAGGCTTCCAAGTGAGGTGCCGCCCAGCCGGGTCCCCTCTGCCACAGAGGGCAAGTGACCTCTGCACAACGACAAGGCAGAGGGCACAGGGCCAGGTGCCAGGATGGACCAACATGAACAGCATATCCTGTTGGGCCTTCTTACCAAAGCTGAAGTTTGGTATGGCCGCATGAACCAGGACACTAGCAGTACCCTAGCTCCGCTCCAGCTCCCACACCCACCCAGTCCTGCACCACCGCCCTTTCCCTGTCACCTCCTTGGGTGCCATGCCCCTGACTGCCCCCAATGCCTGTGTCCTGGTCCATCACTCCCATCGCTGAAGTGCAGGCCTGGGAGATCTGCCACCCGGTGCAACCCTGTAAAGATGCCCAGCACACTGCTGGCGAACGCTTAACAGCTAACGCCCTGAACAGCTAACGCCCTGAGGGTGATGCGTGCCAACCCTGTACCCACCCCTTCTCCCCATCTGACCAGGGCTCCCTGTGTGTGCCATGCCTGTGTCCATCTGCAGGGCTCTGGAGAGGCGGCCGGGACCCAGCAGGCCCCACAGATGTGGACGGGGGAGGGGGGACGCTATGTCCAGGGGCACAGCCTGGAAGGCCTTTGGAGTGATTTTGAGTGTGTTGGAGTGATTTAGGGGAGCCCTGCTAGCTCTGACCATGGACCCCTTTTCCATGAGCAGACCCCTCCTCACTGCATGCCTCCTTAGTGTGGTGACAAGTGGCTACCTGGCCCCTGGGTCCTTCCGTTGGGGCAGTGGCTGGGGAACAGGTGGGCCCATGGCTTCCACACTTGTGCAGAGGATTTAAGGAGGGAGGGCCTTGAAGACGTGGGTGGGAGAATCGGCCACCACTCTACTTGGAAGGGCAGGGCTGAAGTGCACCTACATGACATTGCCAGAGGGCCCTGGCAGCCAGGCCGTGGCCTGGGCTGGAGCTCCAGCAGCCATCGTCACGTTCCCTGGAAGCAGGCGGGCTGCTCACGGCTGCCAGGACCCCTCCTCTCCTTCTCCCCCTCCCCCCCAACCCCCGAGTCAGAGGACTGGCTCCAAGCCAGCTTATAAGCCTCAGCAAAGGGTCAGAGTTAGAAGTGGCTGGGAGCCCCAGGCCTAGAGCGGCCAACCCGGCCCCCGGGCCGCTCACCCCTTCCCATTCCACCCTTCTACACCCGGTCTACACACACGGGCACGCTGCAGCAAGGCCAAAGGCGGCCAGGTACCTCTGCCTCATACCTGTAATCCTAATGGTCAGGAGGCCGACACCTGAGGATCACAGTTTGAAGCCAGCCTGGGCAGGAAAGCCCCTGAGACTCTTATTTCCAGTTAACCACCAAACAGCCAGATGTAGAACTGTGGCTTAAGTGGTAGAGTGCTAGCCTTGATCAAAACTGAAAGACAGTGCCCAGGCCCAGAGTTCAAGTCCAATACCTTCACGCACTCGCACACTCACACACACACGTGCGGGCCAGGTGAGGTTTCCCCATGCCATGCCAGGCACTGGCAGAGGACCAGCCCTGCCAGGACGGCGGCACATAGGGCTTGTGGCGCAGAGGGAGCTCTAGCAGGCTCGGGTAAGAGAGGCGGGAAGCACATCCCTTCACCACAAGGTTCCACGTGTCCCACGAGACCAGCTTCCACATCACAGTGTGAAGATGTTGGCCAGACGGCCCCATGGTGGGGTCAACAGAGGGCAAAGAGGAGTAAAAGGCAACCCTGGACAGCCAGGGTGCTGATCAGCCCTCCCTAGGTGCCAGCTAGGCAACGAGAGGCCGTGGCCGGCCAGGTGACACCTCTTACCTGGGTGGTCCTGTGCTCTGCGTGGGACTGCACGCACCTGCAAGGGAAGGTCACACTGTGAGACACCCACAAGAATCACAAGGCCACACCTCGGGACGCCGGAGAGCCTCCACAGACGTCCACGTGGACACACCGCGGCTGCTCGGGACGTTACCTGGAATCCACAGACACCGAGCAGCAGCCAGGAGCACCAGTGGCCGAGGGACGGCAGCTTCTTCATGGTTCCCAGAGGTCAGAAGAGGCGGGGCGGGGACCCCGCGTGGAAGTCCTGAGAGGGGGGCTCTGGCCTCTACTTGCCCCTTCTTTGGGACAGGGATATTTCACAGGCTTCAGGACTTGAAACAGCTCTGTGGGGTTTGTGAGAGAGGAGTGCTCTCTCTCTCTCTCTCCCTCTCTCCACCTAACAGGCAGCGGACTGCCAGAAGCAAAGGCCAGCTCCAGACTGAGAAAGCATCCAAAAGGCTGCACCACAGCCCTCGGCCGCCCGCCGTCCCCCAGAGGGACCCGCCTTCGGGGCTGGGCGGGGCTGGCTGCCCTTCCCGCTTCTGCCTTGAACCGGAGGGGAACCGGGAGGCTCTGCCTTAGTCCCGCAGTCCCGCTCCTGAGCCACAGCTGCCCCTCTGCCTGTGCCTCAGGCTCTGGGTGGGGAGCGAGTGAGGTCAGCTCCAGTCAAACTTCACTCTCCTCTCTATTTATATCCTGTCCCGCTGTGTTCCTGGGTCCTAACTCCAGCCACTCAAACAACCAGAGCAGCCCCACAACCCCTCAGACATGGAGATGGGGTAGGAGGTGTATTAAGGTGTGTGTGAGACACAGAGTATGAGGGGTGTGAGGCGGTGTGTGCAGTGGTATGAATGTGTGAGCGTGGATGTGAGTACAGATGTGTGAGTGCAGGGGTGTGAGTGCAGGGGTGTGAGGAGGCATGGGTGGGTGTGAGTGCAGGGGTGGGTGTGAGTACAGGGGTGTGAGGAGGCACGGGTGGGTGTTAGTACAGGGGTGAGTGTGAGTGCAGGGGTGTGAGGAGGCACGGGTGGGTGTGAGTACAGGGGTGGGTGTGAGTGCAGGGGGGTGAGGAGGCATGGGTGGGTGTGAGTGCAGGGGTGGGTGTGAGTGCAGGGGTGGGTGTGAGTGCAGGGGTGGGTGTGAGTGCAGGGGTGGGTGTGAGTGCAGGGGTGTGAGAACACAGGTGGGTGTGAGTACAGGTGTGGGGTGTGAATGCAGGTGAGTATGAGCAGGTATGTGAGGGGGTGTGAGTGCAGGGGTATGTGTGGGTGTGAATGCAGGTGGGTATGAGCAGGTATGTGAGGGGGTGGGGGTGGGTGTGAGTGCAGGGGTGTGGGGGTACAGGTGGGTGTGGGTGGGTGTGAGTGCAGGGGTGTGGGGGTACAGGGGTGTGAGTGGGTGTGAGTGCAGGTGGGTGAAGGGCTCCCGGGACTGTGGGGTGAGCATAGAGATGCACATTACAGACACTTCCTTCTGGGCTCAAGCCCCATGACCGCCACCAACAAAAGATACCTTCCTAGTAGCGCCTCAAACTCACTCTAACAAACACCTGTGGATGAAACCACAAGCTCTGCTGAGACTTGGGTCTCGATACATCAGAGAGAAATCAGGTGGCAGGAAGGAGGTGGTGTGCTGGGCTGGCCACGCGGGCTCCTCAGCCCTGCACGAATCAGGAATGCCAGGGTGACAGAGGGGCCCCGAGGAACTCCGGCACCCGCCCGTACCCCCACTGCCAGGTCAGAGCTCGCCTGTGATAACCAAGTCAGACCCCCCCGCCAGCTGTGCCTCAGTTTACACAAGGACAAGGGTTCATCCAGCCTGCCTGACCACACACACACACCGTGGCCAGGACTGTTACTGCCACCAGCTCTGTCTGGGGATGGAGCTGAGGACCCAGCACGCCCCGCCCCACACCTCCCCACTCCCCGCAGCTGCCCTCCTGGGCAAATTTCATGGGTGAAATCCTTCACCTGCAGCGTGGAGACAATGTCCACTCTCAGGGGTGGTAATGAGAAAGAGCGACATATAAGGCTCTTTGTAAAGTGCCCAGAAAAAGCGTACACTCAATAAATGCTAGCAAGAGCCTCACTGTCCTAGAAAACATCGCTCAGTAAACGGGATAAAACGATTGTCTCTACGGCCCGACTTTAAATGGGAATTACGAATCTGTGTTCAGTCCACTTCCTAAAGAGGGTAAGAAAGTCTGCTGGGGGAAGGGAAAGGGATGTCAAAACCCAAGGTGATTATTTAATGTGTGCCTTGGGCTGACAGCGTCTGCGATTACATCTGCCCGACCCTGGGCCTCCCTGCCTGGCTGGAGGCTCCGACGGGCTTGTGCGCATGCCCCTGCTGCAGTGCCAGGAATCCTGGGACTCCGGACCCCAAGGGCTGCGATCGCACCCTCTAGCCTTGTGCCTCGGTGTGATTGCCAGGGGAAAGTAATTTACAGCCTTCCCTTTACACCTCGTCATTCTCCACACACTTTCTCTGCTCCAGAGAAGGGAGAGGCTGGAGGTCAATTGCTCTTCTCTGGCTCCAAACTTAAGCAGGATAAAACAAGTGGTTGAATACAGAGACCTTTCCTATTTCCAGGACAGAACACACACATACACACAAAACTGCAGTGTTGGCTTTTGGGTGGCCTAATACAGAGCTCATGTGAGGCTCCGGCTGGCCTCAAACTTGTGATCCTCCTGCCTCTGGAGTGCTGGGAGTACAGACAGGTGCAACTACGCTTGGCTATTGGGGTGCAGAGGGTTTGAGAAACAGTTCTTATCATTACAAAATGATCCTCAGGAAATGGAAGGTGTCACAGCCCCTAACTTCCTCCCCACAGCTGGTCACGTGAGTCCTCAGGTCGCCCCTTGCTCAAGCTCCTGTCGGGCTGCCAGGTCCTAGGAGCTCCGTCCTTGGCTAAGAACATGTGGGGGACGCAGAGGCTCTTGGAGCACCATGGCATGCTCCAAACAGAAGTCTCAGCAAGGAGACGAACGGAGGCCCAGCCTCCAGGTCCAGCCTGCATTTGGCCCTGTTTGTTTCCACAGCAACGTCGGCAGTGTCTGCACAGTCTGTGTCTTTCACTCTGCAAAAGTAGAACAGGCAAGCGACCAAGAACAAATGGAAATCTTCACACTGAGAAGGCAATTACTGGAATTAAACATGGTGCCGCCCTTGGTAAGACCCACTGATGGAAATGACGTCACCTGTGCAGCAGAGACGCGGTGATGACGGGAGACAGGGCCTCCAGACCAGGGGCCAGCAGCCGGCGGCGGAGGGCGCTCTGGGGGGGGGGGGAGCGTGCTGTCAGGAGTGTTGGTGAAGAAATAATGGCTGCAATCCAGACAGACAGAGGACAGACATCCTATTGGCTCTGTTTTGTTATTTCTTTAAGAACCCTGACTCCTACAGTAACAGAAGCAGGAGGTTAGCAAAGGGGTGTCATAGAAATGAAGGCATCACATTTACAGAATGCCCCACCCAACAACAGCAGAACCACAGGAAACCTACACCAAGATAAACCTATCTCAGGCCATAAAATAAAATCTAATCAATATAAAAGACATGGAACCATATAAAACTTGCCCTTCAGACATTATGAAACAGCAATAAGCCAGCAACAGAAGAATGGCAAGCAAAAATCAAATTGCTTAGTAAAAACCACTCCCACACAATCCACAAGTCATTCTTTGTTTTTGTTTTTTTGGTCTGGTCGTGGGGCCTCAACTCTGGGCCTGGGCGCTGTCCTTCAGCTCTTCCACTTGAGCCACAGCGCCACTTCTGTTTTTTTTCTTTTTTGCTTATGTGGTGCTAAGGAATCTAACCCAGGGTCTCATGCATGCAAGGCAAGCGCTCTACCACTGAGCCACCTTCCCAGCCCCCACAAGTCATTCTTAAACAATAGATAATACATTGAACTGAGTAAAAATTGAAAATATATCAGATTTTATGAGGTACAGCTACTGCGGTGTTTGGAGGAAAATTCATAGCATTGAACACCTCTGATAGACACACCTTGAATCAGTCATTTAAACTTCTATACTAAGAGGATAGAAAAAGAGCAAAATAAACCCAAGGAAGCAGTTTGCATTCCTGGGCAGAGAAATCGCTGCCAAAATGGAGGCATTCACAACTTCCCTGCCTGTGAATCTTCAGTGACACAGAATTACTCAGGGGGGCGGAGTCGCTCGCCCCTCCCTGAAGCTCAGACATGACTTTCCAACTTGGTATCTTTTCCTTAGTGTTTTCCAACCAAACAGTATCCCAGCTACCTGCCTATGTGGTCCTGCCCGCGTGTGTCCTGTCCCCGTGTGTCCTGTCCCCATGTGTCTGTCCCCATGTGTCCTGCCTGTGTGGTCCTGTCCCCATGTGTCCCTGTATGTCTTGGGCTGGCAGGGCCTCAAGGCTCCACCAGGCCCCTCACCCAGCCTCCAGCCTCAGACAGAATGCCCCCACACTTAACAGTAAGCTGTGCCCTGTGTCCCGTGGGCTAGGTGCTACCTAGAGACTCGGCAGTCTAGCAAATGGGCTCTGTTGGCTCCATGGCCGGATTCCGCTGCCCAGCAGGGACCACCAGTACCCTGAGGCCGCGTGGGGAGCTGGCAGGACCACCACAGAGGCCATTGACAGACGCCCTTCACCCTCAGCTTGGTGATGAGGAGGAAGGAAACTTCCAGAACCTCAGCAGGCTCATCCCATTCACTTAGTCCCAAAGGACACCACAGGTAGTTTCATTTTCAAAAAGGAAATAAAAGGCAACCATACGGGAGCTCCCCAGGAGGTAATACCTCTGAGACTCCAGCCGTCTGCGTCTGCATCGTGGGCAGATTCCTGTGCCTGTGAAGAGGAGATTTGGACAGACTTAACTGGTAAACATCGTTCCCGCTTGGCCCTGTGTCCCATGAGCTCTTAGAACCAACTCCTGGGGGCCGGGCGCCAGTGGCTCACTCCTGTCATCCCAGCTACTCAGGAGGGCAAGATCTGAGGATCAGGGTTGAAGGCCAGCCTGGGCAGGAACGTCCATGGGACCCATCTTCAATTAATCAACAAAAATCCAGAAGTGAAGAAGGTGTGACTTAAGTGGCAGAGCACTAGCCTTGAGAAGAAAAAAGCTCAGAGACAATGGCCAGGCCCTGAGCTGAAACCCCAGGACGGACACCAAAAACAAAACAAAAAACCAGCTGAGTCCCGGAGCAAGCTCCCACACCGCACCGAGGCTGG